GGGCAGCGCTCAGGGGGGCGACAGGGCTCTGGGGGGATTCCCTGCCTTTTGGGGCTTTTTATGGTCTGGGGTGATTCCCTTCCCTTTCACCCCTTTTTATGGTTTAGGGGGATTCCTTCCCTTTCACCCCTTTCTAGGGCTTTGGGGGATTCCTGCCTTTTTTGGGTTTTTAGGGTTTGGGAGGATTCCCTCCCTTTCACCCCTTTTTAGGGTTTGGGATAATTCCCTTCCATTTTGTCCCTTTTTATGGTCTGGGGCTTTTCCCTTTCTTTCATCCCTTTTTAGGGTCAGCCGTTCTGATGGGTTTTTCCCCTCCCTTCTGTGGGTTTTTAGGATTTGGGGTGGGTCTGTCCCTACCTGGGGACAGGATGCAGATGGCCATGAGCAGCACATGCTCCTCCTCGTGCAGGTTCAGCTTCTTCAGCCCCACCTGGAACTTCACCAGCGGCTCCAGCAGGGCCATGCTGTGCCCGGCTGTGGAGAGAACGGGGCCTCAGGGGGGCTCTGGAAAAGGCTCATTTTCCTCTGGAAGGGGATCTTTCCCTTTGGACGGGGATTTTTTCCAACACATTGGGGTGGCACTGGGGCCATTGAGGAGGTGGCACTGGAGACCCTGAGGTGCCACTGCAGACCTTGAAGCACCACTTGTCACCTCCCAAACCCCCAGAATTTGGGGCAGGACCCACCCCCATTCTCAGCCAGGTACAGAGAAGGCCCAGCAGAGGGAAAGTCAGGGAATTTCAGGATTTGGGGCTGGGTCTCCCTTACCTTGGGTGACGTCGCTGACCCTGTACTTGAAGTCGCTGCTGCCGCAGGTCCAGGACATGTCCTCGAGAGTGAAGGACTCGTTGGAGCGCAGCATGATCACCTCCATGGCGCTGCACTTGAGCAGCACGATCTGGTCCTCCACAGACAGATCCCTGCAGGAGGATTTGCCGTCTGGGTGGGGAGCGGGGCACTCAGGGGACACAGGACAGGGACAGGAGGGTGCTCGCCAGGCCCTCAACTGAGGCTCCCTCTCCAGGAATTCCCATTCCAAGGTTTTTTTCAGGTGTGTTTTGGTCCCAAATCATGGAATGAACAGAGCCTGAGGTGCCTTCTCAGGAATTCCCATTCCAGGGTTTTTTTCAGGTGCATTTTTGCCTCAAATCTTGGAATGAACAGAACCTGCGGCCCCTCCTGGGCCCCTCGGGAGCTGCAGGAGCTCTGGGTGGAATCTGTGTGTGTTTTCCAGGGTATTGGAAAAAGGGGAGAACCCCAGGGAAGGGGAGAGACAGAGAGCAGAACTGGGAAGGGAACAGGGCGGAGGAATGGCTGGGAGGGGCAGCACGGGGTTCCCAGGGGCAGGAAATACCAGATTTGGGATCTGCAGCCTCACCTGAATCCCGGGATCATCTTGGCAAAGCCGATCACCTTCTGGATGCTGTAGCTGACCAGGTCAGCCAGGTGTGGGAGCATGGAGAGCTGGGAGAACTCCAGGTTCACCGAGGAGCTCTCATCCTGCTCCTCCTGCAGCGCCAGGCTGGGGAATGGCGGTGGCTCCGTGGGGTCTGCAGGGGGAAACGCTCTGAGCACCCCAGCGAGCCCCCCAGAGCTGAGCAGAGGCTCTGGAATCCCAAATCTGGGTGGAGGAGCTGCCTTTCTGCCCCTCTGAGCCCTGGAGGGGTGAGGGGAGGGAATCTGGGGGCTTTTGAGGCCAGGTTCTCTATAGGATTCAGGGCTGGTTTGGGATCCCAGTCGGGGAATGTGGGATGAGGAAGAGGAGGAGCATGGCAGACCCTTGTGCTGGGGTTAATTTGGGCTCTGGCACAGCCCATCCCCTCCCCTGGAATTTGGGGTGGTTTGAGGTGTCACCTCCAGCCCAAGCGGGCCCTGGGGTCCCTCCCTGGCTTCCAATCGCAGTTTGGGGCCAGGAGGAGCTGGGGCACACCTGGGAATGTGCTGAAGGCCTCGGAGCTGAAGAGATCCGAGGAATCCTCTGAGGACAGGTCCTGGGTGAGCAGGGACGAGGATTTTGTGGCCCCTCTGCTGCTGGGTTGGCTCCTCACGGGGGGCTGGGGGAGAAAACAGAGAAAACTCCTTGAGGAACGGGGCTGGCAGAGGGGTCTGTGGATTTTGCAGGGGGAATTTGAGGGATGAAAGAGATCTTTTGGGGTCAGTACCCGAAATTTGGTGAAGTCAGCATAGGTGGGGTCGTAGGTTTTGCGATGGGCCTCGAGCAGGATGTCGATGACTTTCTGTTGCTCCTCTGAGAGTTTGGGTTTGAGGCTTTCCCTCAGGGCTTCCTCCTCCTTCCTCTTCAGGATCATCTCCCTCTTCCTCTGCACCTCCTCGTCCGTAAGGATGACTGGGAGAGGAAAAGGGGTGGAATCAGGGATTAGAAAGAGCCCTGGATGCCACACCCAGCCCCTGGAAAATTGCTTTTGCCACCTGGAAAATCCCTTTGTGCCCCTACAACAGCTTGGCCCCATTTCCTGCTGTGCCCAGGAGGTTTTTGGTGCTTTCAGGGGAGGCTCTGGGGGCACCGAGGCCGTGCCAGCCGTGCCCGTTCTGCTCCCTCCCTGTTTGCTCAGCCCTCTCAAATCCCCAAACCCTCGGCTCCCAGCTGCCACCAGGGGTGTCCAGCGCTGCTTCGGGGCAGATTTAATCTGATTTTTAAGGTCAAGGCACTCAGGGCTGGGGATTTATGGCTTTTATTGGGGTGGCGGCGCTCGGCAGCGGCCAAAGGTTGGGCTCCACGCAAGGCTGGGCCTGTTTGCTCAGGAAAAAGGAGCAGCTGAGGGCAATTTGGGCTCAAATCTTCACTTTTTTATCAATCACTCCAAGCCCTGAGCAGCCTCAGAGGGGCTGGGAGTGACAAAGGCAGCGGGGAACTGCAGAAATCTCTGGGGTCACAGCAGAGCCCCCTCAAAGCGCTGTTTTGAGGAGGAGGAAAGGAAAAAGGAGTTCCTTTTCCTCAGCCCTTTCTGCAGGGACTGGACACCTCAGGGGCTGTTTCTGAAATTTCTGGTGCAGGGACCCCGTGCTGGGAGGGCCAAGGTGGAATTTGGGGCGAGAGGTCAGCGGGAGGAGCTCAAGGCAAGGAGGCCTCGGCCTTGCTGGCTCCTTTGGCCCAGGGCGATTTTCCATTCTCCATTTTCCATTCCCCAGCCTTGCACAACCTCACAGGGGCCTGGGACACCTCAGGAGGGGCCGAAAGGTTGCTCCCACCTCCACCATCGGGGAGGAGAATCAGGATTTTGCCATTTCCCTTTGCCAGTTTTTATCACAAAAAGCATCAGATCCACAGGGGCCTGCTCGGGGTCACCCACCCTGGTGCTGCACAGAGAGCAGGAGCTGTTAAAAAATCCCATTTTTAGGGACTATTAGGGAAGGATCCAAGGAAGCCTCAACATCCCTGAGGGACAGACACCCCTCCCTCAGCTGCAGGCAGCTGGAAGAAGGCAGGGAAAGGGTAATTCCACATTTTCTGGCCACCTAGAAAGTGGGAAAGGCCGGATTTCCCAGGCCATCCTGTGAGGAGGGGACAGGCCCTGGCTGAGAATTCCCCTATCCCAAGGCCTGGAGGGGTTTTCTCTGCCCTTCTTGTCCCCAGACAGGCAGAAAACCACAAATATTTGCCCAAGCTGGAAACGCCACGTGGTGACCTGGGCCTGGCACAGGGCTGGGAGAGTTGGGGTCACCAAACCCCTCAGCTGGCCAGACCCAGCTCCTCCTGCCCCAAACTGGGACAAACCCCAAATTTCAGAGGTGTGGAAGAGCCCAAATTATCCCCAGCTGAAGGCTCTGCCCTGCTCCTCTTCCTCCCTACCCCACATTCCCAGCCCTGAATCCCAACACTCTGTGGAAAACAAGGCCTCAAAACCTTCCCGATTCCCTTCTTCCACCTAAAAATAACCCCAACCCTTCGTCCTCCCTCATTTTTCCAGCAGCAAAGTCCATTTTTAGCTATTTTTAGCCTGTCTGGGTCAGTTTTGGTTAATGCAGGCAGGATTTGCTAACGGGGCTGTTTACACGTTAACTCCTGTGGGGAAAACGTGGAGAAAACCCCGTGGAATTGCTGCCCAGCAACTTGCCAGCCCTTCCTGGGTAATTAATTGGCTGCTGGTACAAATTACAGCACTTCCCTCATTAGAGGCTCCCAAAACACAGGGACAGCTCCCCAGAATTTGGGGACAGCCAGGGTGGGGTGCAGCCTTTTCCTCCCTCATCAACCTGCCAATCCCAAAGAATAAGATCCAGGGATTCCCATCAGGGTCATTGAAAATGTAAGCATTTTTGCCCTCACAAACACTCCAAATGCTGATTTTCTGGAGGCCCTGGGGTGACATCAGGCTCTATTTAGCACATCAGAGAAAGGGCTCTGCTTCCATAGCCCGAATTTCCAGCTCCATGGACACCCTGGCCACAATCTCCCAGCAGAAAATGTTTGGTTGGAGCTCTCCAGGAGCACCCAGCTCCTCCCCAGCACCTCAAACATGTTTTAATTTTAAAAGCCACTTATCTCTAAATACACCCGGAGAAAACAAACATTTGGGCCACATTTGTGTGTTTGGACTGAGCTTAAAAACCGCTTTTATTCCCTCTGCTGTTGACTTAAGTCCCTGCTTTATCCCACATGGAAAAAAGGGTCAGGAAAAAAAAATCTCAGAGGGAGAAGAGGAAAACCCAACCCAGCTCCATGGGGATGGGAAAGCTCATCCAGCTCTCCCTGTGGAGCATAGAAAATGCTGGAAAAGAGAATTTTCAGAGCCATTGGGAGCCATGGAGCTGATTTTCCTCAAAGAAAACCCCAGGAGAATCCATGAGAACACAACTCTGGGATGGGAAGGAATCATTAAACCAGCTCCTCTCAATCATTACCCGCTGCTTCCTCTGCCCTTTGCATTCCTGGGAGGTTCCCTGTGGCACCAGGGAGGTGGCAGAGGCACAGCCAGGGCCCCATGAGCATTCCCTGGGCTGGACACTCACATTCACCGCCCTCGCACACTCACAGCCCTCGCACACTCACTCACAGCCCTCGCACACTCACACTCCTTCATCATGCCGATGTCCAGGCAGCGTTTCAGCCGGCAGGCCTGGCAGTGCCGCCGGTTGTCCTTGGTGATGTGGCACTCCCCGCTGAAGGGACAGGTGAACATGGCCTTCCTCTTCATGCTCCTCCTGCAAAAGGGACAAAACCCCTTTTTGGGCTCCATTCCTGCTGGTTTGGCTGGTGCTCCAGACATCAGCTGGGTTGGGAGCTGCAGGCACTGCTGGGAAAGGAAAATTCCCCCCAGGGAAACACCCAAGGGTTTATCCCAAAATGGTTTGGGGGAAATGACCTTAAACCCAGCTTGATCCCCTTCCACTAAACCAGGCTGCTCTAAGCCCAGTCCAGCATGTAAGTTTAAGAAGGCTTTGGGTTTAAACAGGGATTTTTAAGGCCAGGAGGGTGGAAGGATTGCAGGATTGCAGAGAAACCCCCCCGGCAGCAAAATAAACCCGAGCTGGGGCCGTGTGGTTTAAACCCAGCCGCCCTAAGCCCGGCTTTGCTGGCAGAACTGGCCCGAGCACATTTTGGGTGTGCAGGGAGAGGAATTCTCGCTGCAGGACACAGAGAAAGGAGCCTGAAAATGACAACCCTGAGCTGCAGGGAAACCACAGCGGAATGGGAACGTGGAGCCACCGGGACAAAGGGTCAGAGCCAAAATAACCCAGGGAAAAGGGTCAGAGCCTGCCAGCCAACGGGGCAGAGCCAAAACCTTCCAAGGAATAACGGCCAGAGCCAGAATTTCCAAGGAAAAAGGGTCAGAACCTTCCAGGACAAAAGGTCAGAGCCAGAATCTTCCTGGGGTAAAGGGTCGGAGCCAAAATACCCCAAGGACAAAGGGTCAAGGGCAGAAACTTCCAAGGAAAAATGATCAGAATCTTCCCAGCACAAAGGGTCAGAGCCAGAGTTTCCCAGGAAAAAGGTGGTAGATGGGATATTGGGAAGAAATTCCTCCCTGTGAGGCCCTGGAATAGAATTCCCAGAAAAGCTGTGGCTGCCCAATCCCTACAAGTGCCCAAGGCCAATACTCAGATAAAAAATGGGTCAAAAATTTCAAAACTGGGAAAAAAAAAAATTAAATTTGGGTAAAAGATGTCAAATATGGGCTAAAATATCCCATATGGGTAACAAAATAAAAATTTTAGTAAAATATAAAGTAAAATATTTTAAAATGGGTAAAAGAATCAAATCTGGGTAAAAATCTTCAAGATTCCCTCACCTGCAGCCCCAGGAATTAAAAGCTGCATTTAGAAAGGGAGAGGTAAACAAAGTGGCTGCACTCTGCCTTTTCCTGACAGGAATTTTGGATTTTCAGGAATTCATCCCAGAAAAATGGATGGCAGGGCCCTGTTTTCCCCCATTCCTCCAAAACCTTTGGAATTTTGCTGCTCCAAGTGGGGAAACACAATCCCAGCCCTTGGAATTCAGCCCTGGACACCCCAAAATTCCAGATTTTGGTGCACAAGAAGCTTATTTTTTTCCACAAAACCCCAAGGAAAGGCCGGGAATGCACAAGCAACGAGGCCTTGGAGGAGGGAAAAACATTCCCAGGGCTCAGGGCAGGCCAAAATTCCAGGTTTGGAATGAAAATTGCAGCTTGGGTGGCTCCAGAGGCTCCCAGGGTGACACCGGAGCCAGGCTGGGCTGGAATTCCATGGAAACCTTCCTGAGCCACCCATTCCCAGGCGGATTTGGGATCCCAGGGGCTAAAAATAGAGAATTCCAGGCCTCATTCCTGGCCTGGAATGAGGGATTGGTGCTGGGAGCTGGGGAGGGCTTCAGCAGGGAGCGGGGATGGGGGCACAATTCCCAGGGTGACCCAGAATTCCCAAGGGGGACAGCAGAATTCCCTGGAAATGCTGGATTTTGCAAAGAGTTGCTCCAGGGCATCCCCTGCCCTTCCTCATTCCCCAGTCCCAGAAGTTTTTGAGATTTTAGGGCTGGGGATAAATCCCAATTTGTAACCCCAGGGGAGTTTTCCCACACTCCCCCCTTCTCCTGAAGCACTGCAAATCTCCCAGATCCATGAAAAACCCTGGAAAAATGGCGCAAAACCCATCCCACAAAAGAAATCAATGATTTTCCCTCCTTTTACACCATGGGAAAGCAGCACCACCAGGAATTCCAGGCCTATTTCAGCACCCTGTTCATTTCCCATTGGGACTCCCAGAGTTTTTTGGGATGGGGGGGTGCAAAGTTCCCAGATCCATGAAAAACCCTGGAAAAACAGGGGGAAAAACCCCATTCCACAAAAGAAATAAACAATTTCCCCCCTTTACACCATGGGAATGCGGCACCACCGGGAATTCCAGCACCCCATTGGTTTCCCCTTGGGGTTCCCGGGTTTTTTTGGGATGGGGCAGTCCCAGAGGCCCGGGCCCACCTGAAGAAGCCCTTGCAGCCCTCGCAGGTCATGGCGTTGAAGTGGAAGCCGGTGGCTCTGTCCCCGCAGACCCCGCAGACCCTGGGCACGCCGCGCTCGCACTCCCCGGCGGGATCCGCCACCGAGGTGCTGCAGGCGCCCGGGTCCATGGCTGCCAGGGGAAAAAATGGAATTTGTCACCGATTTTCTTTAATTCCACCCCATCTGCGGCAAAGTCAGGGGCTCAGTGTAAAATTATCCCTAAAATTTAGGAGTTTTCCTTGCATTCCCCCTGATTCGGGCAAGGAATTTTTATTCCCATTGGCTCTGGGCATTAAAACTGCCCAAAAAGATTCCAATAGATTTTTGGGATTCTGGAATGCTGGGAAAGCTCTGGGGTTGGGAGAGGCTCACTTAACAACCCCAAGGCTCCTTAAAAATTCCCGGTGCCTCTGGAATGTTTTCCTTTAAAAAAAGGAGAGAAAAAAAGTGCTTTTTTCCCATTCCAAACCCTCCCATTCCCAAATTCCAGGTGCACCTTTAAATCCATTAAATCCCATTAAACTCCCAATTAAATAATTCCCTCTGCTTTGGGGCTGTTTTCCAGGGATTCCTGAGGGGGATTTTGGGGCAAGATCTGGATTTTTGGGAATTCCCTGGGACACCATTCTCAGGTCTCCTCTGCCACCATTCCCAACCAAAGCCTGGATTTTCACCTTCATTCCTTTAATTCCTTTGGAATTTTGTTTTCATTTGGATTTTCCCAGCTGGGCTTTGGGGTTGGGGCTGGGCTGGAGGATCCCTGGGGATCCCCAGACAAAGAATTCCCAAAACCCCACAGGAGCCACTGCACTGGGACATTCCAGATGAATAAAAATCCATGGAAAGCCGGGAGAGGGAAGGGGTGAAAGTTTCCCAACGGAATCGGAGCAAAGAGCAGGGACAGATCCAACGCCCCTGGGAATTCCAGCTGGGAAAAACGAGCCTGGCAACTCCAGAGCTCCCAGCCCTGGCACAGGAGGGAACTCCGGGGTGAGGAATTTGGCACCCTCAGATCCTGGTTTTCTCTCTATCCCATAAAAAATGGGGAATATTCCAGGTTAGCCCCTTGGATTGCCATTCCCTGGGCTCCAAACACATCCCACTGCTCCTTCTAAATGGGAAAACCCAACTGAGCCCAGCTTTTCCTGGGATTTTACCCCAAAAAAAGATCCCTCCAGCACCCCTGTGGTCATTCCATGGAGAAGCCTTCCCCCCTTTCCAAGGAAAAATTTAAAAAAATCAAGGAATGGGATTTTTTTCCACAAAGTCTTCCCTGGTGTCTCCTGAACCCTTCCTGGATTTCCTCCTCCTGCCCCATATCCTTCCCCTTGCTCCTTTTTTTCCTAATCCCTAATTCCAGGCTGTCCAATTCCTTCCTCTCGTATCCCAGACAAAATCCGGGGAAGGCTGACAGGCAGAAGCTGCCCCTGCTTGTGGGAAATTCCAGAACTCCTCCGGAGCTTCTCCCTGGATTTCGAAATATTCCCAAACAGGTTTTTGCTCTGTCACCCTCCGGAGAGAGAAAGCCACCCCGGGAAAACACAATTCACAGGAATTTTCCACATGGATTTTTATTTTTTTGCCATTTCCAGCCTCCCTTGGAGCTTGTTTTTTGCCCCAGAGGGAGGAAAAATCCAGCAAAATTCCAGCACAATGCTCCTGAAATCTGCCCTGAAAACAGGGACTGGGGAGAGGAGCTGGAATTTGGGGAAATTCTACCTTAATTCCAGGGATTGGAGCAAGGATTATCTGAAGCTGCTGGGACAGGATCCCTGGGAAGGTTTAGGGTGGATTTTAGGGAAAATTCCTCATGCAGAGGGTGGAAAAGCTTCCCAGGGAATGGACAGGGCCCTGAGGCTGCTGCAGCCCAAGGAGCTTTTGCAGAATGCTCGTGGATATTTGGGATTTTTGTGTCCAGTGTAGGGCCAGGGGTTGGAGGGGCTGATCCCAATTTGGGATTTTCCAGGATTCCACGGAAGAGTCTGGACTCCATGGCCTTGGGATCCCACATGGGGTCAGGGCCTTTCCAGGAATGAAACAGCCCCAAAATCCCAATTTTTGTGCCCTGTCCCAGGCAGTGTCCCCAGGGCCACCCTGGGCAGCAGCAGGACAGAAATCCAGGTTTTCCCCATGGAATTCTTAGAGGGTCCCAGCCCCTCAGGAAGGGATTGTAGAGCCCAGGACTCCCTTAGGCATAGGACACCAGGAGGAAATGGGAAAAGACCCCATAATTCCAGAAAAACTGAGCTGGGAAGGGCTCTCCCTATGGAAAAATTCCCAAAGCAGAAGTGGAACGGCAGCACCAGCCCCAAATCCTCTTTTGTGCTGGAAACAGCCCTGGGGAGGTGTGCAGCCACACAGGTGATTCCCAGCTGCGGCAATTCCCAGGAAATCTGGGATTTGCTGTCCCCTCCCAGGCGAGCCCAAGGCCAGGGGACACGTCCTAAAACTAGAGCTGGGCCTTGTCAGAATTTTGCTGGAATTTTGCTGATTTTTGGAGCAGGGAATTTAAAATCTGGAGTCAAAAGCTGGAGCAGGGGATTTATGGGGATGGGAGGGATCTTTGGGGGGAGGAACGGATTTTAGGGAGCTCCCTGGGGCAGCAAAGAGCCCAAATCCCTGTCCAGCCCTTCCCTGGGATGTGCCCACTGGAAAAGGGAATTCTCATTCCCTAGAACCTCGACCTGCCCAAGGAGGGAGGAGGAGGAGGGGATGATGCAGCAGCCGGAGCTGTTGCCGCCTGGAATTGGGAAATTGGAGCAGTAGCCACGCCTGGGGCACGGAGAAGGTGGGAAAACCCTCAGGAAACGGCCCCAATTTTTCCAGAGAAAAACGAGGGAGGCTTCGTGTGCCAGAAATGCCCTTTTCCACCCAGGGGGAAGCAGGAACAGGATCAGGAACGGCTCCAGGCAAGGAGAACCCCTGCCCAGGAGAGCCCGGAGCAGCTCCTGGGGTTCCGGGGAAAGAGGAAACGCCTTCGGGCGCCCGGATAAAAATCCAGGTGTTGTTTTCCACCCTTTTCCGTTTATTAGCGAGGGAAAAAGGGCGAGGGTTGAGCAGATAAGGGCCGAGATAAGAGAAATGGGCCCAAGGAGGAGCTGAGTCAGCAGAGGCTGGAAATGAGGGGGTGGCACTGGGGACATCCTGGCAGTGCCACCCCTGGCACGTTTTTGTTCCATTCCACCTCAATTTAATCCTAATTTCCCCGGATTTTGCTCCCCTTGCTTTCCTCAAATTTTCCCTGGATTCTTTGCTCCTCTCACCCCTCACTTTCACCATCATCTCCCTGAATTTATTTATCTTCTTTTTAATTCCCAGAACCATTTCCATTCCCATTCCTCTCCTTTTTAGGCTCCTATTTGCATCCTAGTCCACCTCCAAGAGGGATTTTCCCTCTCTCAATCCCTGACAATTCCAGAATTTCCCCTCAGGGAGCTCAGGCCAGGCTGGCTCTGCTTTGGCTCAGCCACAAGAAGTTAAAAATTATTCTCTGGAGCAGGATTAGCCATTAAATCGGGAAAAAACCACCTGGATTTTCCATTTATTCCTCCCTAAACACAGCAGGATTCAGGGAAACAAACCCCAGCCATGATCCCAGGCGTGTTTTTACCTGGGAAAAATCTGATTTTTGGGATTTTTGTTATTGCTAGGACATCTCAGTCCTGATCTGGTCACGCCCTGGAGATCTGGGGCAGACATCTCCTATCACCCTCATCATCATCTGCATCATCATATCCCAGATTTTCCTTGCTCCAGGACTCCAGAGGGAACCCAATCTCACCCTGGCATTTTTTTCCCTTTATTTCACCCCATTTCCACCAGGTCCAGCCCAACATCGGAGCTTTTAAAACTTTATTTAACTTTATTTACACCATTTTTGCTCCCCTTGGTTTCCCCATATTTGCCTGGATTTCTCTCCATTCATCCTCGGGTTTAATCTTTATTTCCCTGGACTTTTCTCCCCTTACTGCTCGATTTCCCTGGATTTAATCTTAATGTCCTGGGATTCCTGTCCCCCTTGATTTCCCCATCACTTCCCTGGATTTTTCCTCCCTCTTCCTGGGTTTAAACCCCAATTTCCCGGGATTTTCGCTCCACTCACACCTTGCTTTCCCCATCACCTCCCTGGATTTTTGCTCCCCTTGGTTTCCCGGGATTTTTCCCGGGTTTGACCGCAATTTAAACCGCAATTTCCCGGGATTTTCGTGTCCCGCCGCAGCCGCGGCTCCTTCCCCGGCCGGAGGAAGATGAGTCACGGGCGGCTCCGGGGGAGGAGGAGGAGACGCCGCAAAAACGTCGCTTCTCCCGAAAACCTCTTTCCGAGAAAAAACACCCAACTTTTCTCAAAGCTCCAGCCTTGAAACGGAGAGGAAGGAGAGGCTCAGCCGCCTCTGCCGACCCCAAACCGCCCCAAAAACTCTTTTGGGATGCCCAGAGAGGATCCCTCAATTCCTGGTGCATAAAAATCCCCCCGTACCTTGATTTTCCTGGGGCTGGCACGGCTCGGGATCCTCCGAAATATGGAAGGCGCTGGGGAATCAAGAAGTAAGGCGATTAATTCCGTGTCGGGGGGCTCAGCCCCCCCAACCCCCCAAAAATCCCGAACTGGGACCTTGAACGTGGGTTTAAATGGGGTGCTTGATCATGAGAGCAGCCAAAAACCCCAAAATCAGCCTTACAGGAAACGCTAAAATCGCCTTACAGGAAGCCCTAAATTCACATTGACACCCCCACGGCAGCCAGGAACCCCAAAATCACCTTACGGGAAACCCTAAATTCACATTGACACCCCCTCGGCACCCCAAAAATCACCTTACAAGAAACCTTAAATTCACATTAATACCCCCTCGGCACCCAGGAACCCCAAAATCACCTTACAGGAAGCCCTGAATTCACACGAACACCCCACGGCACCTCGGAATTTCCCGGTTTCGAAGGCCCCCCAAAAAGGGGGCGCCCCACAGGGGGAAGGACAGTGGTGCCTTTCCGGGATGTGGGGACGCCCCGGAACAGCCCAGAACTCCCGGATTACTGGGGGTGCTCGGGGCTGAGCCCCCCAAAATCAGGAGCCACCCCCAGAATGGGATGGGGACACCCCAAGGGGGGGGTCCGAATTTTGGCAGGGAAGCCCCAAAGCTCCCAGTTTAGGGGGTCACGTGGAG